CACTTGTAGTTTGACAAATGTCTTAGGTATACAGAATATGTAAAAAATAATATTTTAAATGTGTTGATTGTACATATTTATTTGACGATACACAAAAGTCACCTTCAAAACAGTAATCAGGTTGTCTTTCTCACAAATGATCTTTAGAAGTAAACAATTATTCCTGAAAAAAATTGTAATGCTGGTACAATGTTAAAGTAAAATGTTGTATCAGCCGTAAAATTCATTAATTTCTTTTAATTCAATTTAGAATAAAATATTTTGGTTCATTCACTTTCTGTGTTATTTTTTGTTTTTGGCAGTACCGTTGCACAGGTTCAGCGTTACTTTTACGATATATGCACATTCATGGGTTACTGGATATGCACAGTGTAGTCTGAGACTGCACAAAATGTACAGGCTGGCCCAGTGGCAAAAGATATAGTCAATTTCAGTTCCAGCAAATTGTATTAAGGGTTTAAATATTTTGTAAACTTTAAAATGTTTGTATTTGTGGTTTTATGCTGATCTGCATCATGTTTTGTTTTTATTTGTTTGGGTCGTCAGACCAAACAAATAATGGTAGCGAAATTTCAGACCCTGACGCTGTTAATTGCAAATGCCGAAAGTAGTCCGCTTTTTTGAAGCGGTTACCTACCTTAATTTATATGTACACTAACACCGAAAAATTCAGGGGAGATCACTGCGTAAAGATGGTCAAATGACAGGCACATTAATTTTCAAGCAAAATAGTTCCTGAATGGTCGAAGATTTCTAATATTGTTTTATTCTTTATAGATAAACATGCTTATAGTAAGCTCCATGATTATTTACATCTGTTTTAAACAAAAGTTAGCGTCATTACAAACCCTAATTTAGAATAATAAGGTTTTCTTCAGGCCTTTAACATGTGGCCTCACCGTGGCCTAGGGGTTTGCGCGCTCGCTTAGGAAGCCAGAGGTCTGGAGTTCAAATCCCAGTTAAGGCAAGTCATTTTTTTTTCAAATTGTTTAATTAAAGTCAAATAAACATTGAATTGAATATCAGTGTTGCTATTAGTCTTATAGCCAATTTACTACAATAACAAGCAATTATCATAGTATTGCAAGCAATTCATAAGTCCCCTACCGGTTAGAACCCCAGCAACATTCTGATTTCAATTTTACCAGTGAATGAATGACATGAATGAATTAACTTAAATCTTTTGAGTTCTAAGTTTGTCTATTTCACAGTAATGTGTTAGTAAGGAAACTATGTTTATACAACCTTGTCATATTATTACGATGTGGGATTTTAAAGTAAATCCTATAAGGAATGAAGAAGTTGGAGTAAAAAATACCAATTTCTCGAAAAAAATCTAAGTTCAAGGGGGACATAATTCTGGAAATAGTCTTGCTAGAGTATTTAACCTTCTCAAAAATGTTGAGTGATAATAAGAAACATATATATGAAGTTTGAAGTAGATACATTAGGAAATAAAGAAGTTATTTAAAAAAGACAACATTTTTTTCATAAAAATTCTAAGTTCAAGGGAGGTAATACTGATAATTTTTGTGCTAGAGTTGTAAACCTTGTCACATATGATGTGGTTGATGACCAGAAACTTATATTTAAAGTTTGAAGTAAACACCTTAAGAAATAAAGAACTTATAGTGAAAAAGCTGAAAAATTTAAATCAGAAATCTTGAAATCCAGGCTATTTGTTGCCATAGCAACCAGAATTTTCAACATAGGAAGAAAAGAAAAAGACGTGCATAATCTCCATACTGCCATCTATCCATATATCAAGTTTCATAAAAATATTTTCAGTACTTTTTGCGTTATCGCGGGATCCAGTTTTGTGGACGGACGGACGGACTGACGGACAGACAGACAGACGGACAGACAGACAGACGGACGGAGGGTAAACCTAAAGTCCCCTCCGGTTAAACCGTTAGGGGACTAAAAACGCTGGAAAGCATTGGTGGCACTATACAAAAACAAATTTAATTGGCTTATAATCTCACAACCTTCACCTTTCTGACATTCTGAGACCCAAACAAATTCAGCGCCTTCTGTGCTTTGATTTTAGTTCAGCAGTCCACGCATCTAATGGACATTCCTAAATAACTAACCAGTAAATAACCAGTTTCTCCTTGAGAGACTGACTACTAAGCCTACATGATTTTTAAATCCGCTAAGAAAGTCAAATGACCATTAGACTGTTCAAGATCAAATGAGCCACCTCACGACAAAACCAACATAGTGCGTTTGCGACCAGCATGGATCCAGACCAGCCGGCACATCCGCACAGTCTGATCAGGATCCATGCTATTCACTACCTTTTTCTATACTTGTCACAGGGTTTGTAAGGGAACAGCATGGATCTTGATCCGACTGCGCAGATGCGCAGGCTGGTCTGGATCCATGCTGGTCGCAAACGCACTATGTTGGTTTTGTTGTGACGCGGCTCAAATGACACAGAGAAATGAAACCTTGCCCAAAGATTGATCCAACTTCTCCAGGATTATTATCTAATGCTCTCCCTAAAAAATTGAGTTCTTAAGCCGGCGGCAGTTAGAATATGAATTTTAAAATGTGAATTTCATACAAAATTAATCTGAATGATTCTAACTCATGCAAACAGACTCTTGTGACACCCTTATCTTAAACAAACATAATCTACTTGTGTTTAAATGTTTACCATAAATGTCCATGAATGAAGTCAAACAATAACCGACGTAATTCAAACCCAACCTTAAACTGACCAATCAGGCTTTATTGAAAATGAAGTTTACACATACCTAATGTACTTTTTTATTATATTAATAGCCAATCAATTTCTCGAACAAATTTTTAAAAAATGTGATCATTTTTATTATTTTTTGAACTTGTAATTCTAGCTGAATTTAATTGTGAAATTTTTGCCTCAAATTTTTTCGTTTGAGGTATTTCAATAACAAAATAATAAAGTTTAGCAGACAATATTAAAATGAACCTGGAAGCAGTCGTCACTCTTTGTCCTAAACACTCAGAGTGGCCTGGCTATATATAAATACAAGCGGCATATTAGCATTAGGTCCACTATGCTTTTAGAAAAGGTAAATAAATCACTGCTATATAATATTGTCATGGATATTATGAGTATGACAATTTCTTACAACTTTCATAACAGCGAACTGACAAATGATTTGTGATTAGGCACTAAAATTAATCTAGATCCAAAATGTACTCTAGATAAAGAACATAACATAAAGTATAAAGAATATATTTGCTTTTTTGGCTTGCAGCCGTGGCTTTGTTGTATTGTTTTAACTTTAGCATTTTAGTTGCCCATCTCTGCAAGGTCCCATACATGATATGGGCAATGAAAATAGGAATAAGAATATGCAGTTATTTCTCTTACTCTGTTCATAACATAGAAAATTCAGATTCTGTCAAATCTTACATAATACATTCTATGTTACCAGTTGATACGGAATATTTATTTTACACTAATAATTTTAACGATTTGTCTGACATAACCTAATAATAGCAATAGGAACATGGAAGAGTCGCTTTTGAAAAACAGAAATATTTATTACGAACACCTTTATTAACATTTGCATGTAAAGTGTAGTTATAAACATTGATTTTTCCCTGAGGGAAACAAAATCGTTTTAATATTGATTCGGTCTTTGTACAATCTCTCCCCTCTAAGATAAACCTGGTATAGGAAAGTAATTCCAGTTTACTATCGTTAGCAACAATGATTTTTATGTTTGCTCAGGCTGGTAATGGCCCTACTTTTCATTACACGATCATTTTAACCTTTTGATTTGCTTTATTTTTAACGAAAACAGAATCAACGGTAAAACATAAAACATTTTTACAGACTGCATGCTCAGCTGTTTTATTTTAATAAAAGACCGGCATTTTCATCGCATTTCTTTGTGATTTCGTTTCACATTCTTCTTTGCTTATTTCACATTTTTGCTTTTGAAATGAAAACTCAACCCTTCCAAGAATAATCAGAATAAATGCCAGCATGATTGAGAAAACAGTCACCATTATTAACATCCCTTTAAAAAAATGATGTCAAAAGACATTTTATTTGTCCTAAATGTTGAAAATAAAATTTATTACCAATGAAATGATGAAGACAAGAACATGTGTAAATAGGTACTGTTAACCAACGTTATATTGTTAGTTATATAAAGATTTCTGACAGGTTATTAAATTATGGTCCTATATAAACGACTGTTTGCATATATATAAATGTAAGCAACAGTTTATATACGGTCATAACAAATTTATAATACAGCAAATTTCCTTTTTGGGAGAAAAATAATAAAATTTCCTCATAAATTGACGCAGCTGTGTATATAAAACTATCTAAACATCACAATTATCCAATAAACAATGATGTAACAAACATGCAGTTATTAATAATATAATAATAAAGTTTTTTTCAAGAGCTAGAGAATTGAATGAAAGACCCACAAGGCCTCCTAAAATGTTTATATTTTAATTTCTCTCTTAAAAGTGTATTTTTATAGTGTTCAAAAATTTACTCTTTGGCCAATTACTAAAAAATGAACCATCTTTTTCTTCTGTTGCTTTTTTGGCAATAGTTAATAGATATTTTTCAGTGTTTCATACAATTAAGCTTGGTCTTAAAATCACTAAAATTGTATATTAAGACTTCATCAGCTATAAACATGGAACAGTTTATTTCTAATAAAATATAAAATTCTTGAATTGAGTGGTCATCATAATACAATGTCTAGTCAGACAGCAGGCCTGTTTGTAACATTTTAGTGTTAAAATTATAATTAGCACTACATGTATATTTCAAAAGAATGCAAAGCAATTGTAAACTCAGTTGTATGACCTTACATCCACACACTGCATTGCTAAAATTACACCAAAGGTCAATGTCATCGCTATTTCACAATAGAAGTTTGTGGGATCGGGATTAGAAATGATTGGTGCAGAACAAATTCTTAGAAAACCTTCTTTAACAAGTTTGGAAAACATAAAAAAGTTTCTATAATACATACTGTTTTCATCGCCTCCCTCTGACGTATCCATTTAATATAATCTATTTTTTCTACAGTCTTTCCTTTCCCACCACTGTATAAATATGGTCCAATCTCACGCCGTGCTATTTCCTGTACAGCAACAACACCCCCAGTACGATATGCTTCAACAAGTTTACCACCTCTGTTAAGATCGGCAAACTTGTACATGGGGTTACGTTCCACTTCCCGATTCTGCTCCTGCCATGCGGAGTCTGGGTCCCCCACCGGCTGCTTCTTTATTAAATTGCCCATATTTTTAATTCTCAAGCACACTTGAAACTTTCCTATCTTTTCTGCTGACTTTATCACGATATATCCTCAAACGAATCAAACATATTTCTCTTAATCAGCAACAATTTACTGCCATTCAGTGTTGATAAAACACAAGAATCTATATTAATTTTTGGCCAAATTCTTACGTTTGAAAGCACAATTGATTAATTAAAACTGCTATTTATTCATTATGATGAAAAAAAACGGTCACTTTGTTTTAACTCTTTTCACACTTGTAAATAAATACGAAATATATTAATATTATTAATACATATTTCAGTCACAACTGTGTTAGCATATATCAATTAAATAGAAATTTTTTATTATTCCAGAAAATTCTGTAAAATATTTCCAATCCATGTATTTATAAATCCACTCAAGATGTTTATCAAAATGGAACTCCTTATTCATTGTCGGTTGCGAATAATTTCCTTATTCTTTTGCACTAAAAACATTAATATAAACATTCATAATCGTCTATGTCATTTCCGCAAATTATACATAATCAGCGAACAGTTGCTGGAAAATCTGTATAATCACTCCTCTTGTTAACAATCTGGAAAAAATAATAATTAAGTGGTCAATTATCAATTTTAATCAATATCTGCTATTTCATAGCTCAAGAAAGACTGCAACATGCGATACTGTCAATTTTCGTTCCTAAAATACGTAATTCTTTGTATCAGTATAATTTTATAATTCTAACAAAATTTAATAGAAAAAAACAACAACTATATATTCAATCTTATTTTAATTTTGACAATTGAAAGGTTATTAATACCATAAACTCAAATTTAGTATTATGGTATCGCAACTTTACATTATCATTCCTTGATAACGAAACTTAAGCAAATTAGTCAACACAATTACCAAAATGCAAATAAAATTTCATTTTATATATAGATCTATATAAAAAAAAAAGAAATCAAAAAAATATAAAAGCATAAATTTATAAATTTTATTGCTTTGAAACCAACCTTATCAAGAAAATATTAATATTATCCAAGTTAAAACAGCAAAAAAATATATACATAATGTAAATAAATAAATAAAATTCAATTCAATCTTCAAAAGGAATACAATAAGAGAGATCTGGGATCTCTAAAGTGCAAGTATTATAGATTTATTTAGACTGGTGGATTTTTATTATCAATAAACAAGTACAAAAATATTTGTGGTTGTTCAACAATAACACTTGACCATAAAGCCCCACTTGTATTACATAAAGATTATAAAACAACCTGACCTTTCCACTGATCTTTATTATAAAGGATTAATCTAAAATAAATCTCTGTCTTATAGATAACCTTATGTTAGCACAATACACCCCCTGAAAAGAGAAACTTGATTTTATAATTTTTCAATCGGGCAACAAGTAGAAAATGACATTGCCAAATCTTGAATACCTATTATAGCATAAAATCGGCTAATATTTTTCCCCTCTTTTGCCCATGTTATAACGGGACCAAAACCATGTGTTAACATAGTCACGCGCTCTTGTTATAGCCCGGTTTCACCTATGCGCAATACATACAGGGCCCAGTAAACAAACAAACAAAAAATGACGATTTGGCCTGTTTGCCAAAGAGTCATGCGCTCTTGTTATATTGAAATTTATTGATTCGAGGGCCTCAGTCGCATATTCAAGAAACTATGCCGGAAAAACGGCGTACAGACATCGGTGCTATAAATCTTAGTTGTTGCCCTTTCTAAGAAACGGACAGTTGTCAATGTAAACAAATAGGCCTACAGTAGAATCTACCTGTCATTCAGTTTAACACTCCGATTAACTTACAAAACTAGATAACACAAAATTAATATGAGAAAATGTTTTTTATTTATGTTAATGTTGATAAATGCTCTTTATATTTCTTTGAGAGAATAATGCTTAGTGCCTGATTTTTTTTATAAACTTGTTTGCTTGAAAAAAAAAACCGATTCTGATGTCACTCATCAATCTGAAATCATTCTAAGAATTTCTGAGGGTCATGTTTTGTCTTGGGTAGAGGGTAGAGTAATGTAACGTTTTTTTTGTTGAGATAATAAATCTCCAAAGGCCAAGCTTTGTTAAATCAATTAAAATTCAAAATTTCGTTCGGTTCCGAGAATTTTCCAAGTTGTTGGCCCCGGAAAAATGAAACGCATACGTAAAACATAAAATTGGATAAATACCGTCCAAGCACAAGAATTTAATGTAATTGTGTTTTGTATAAACTATACATGACGAATCTGTTTGAAAATTTTATGCTATAATAGCGTCAACGCACGTTTATTTCGTGTTATAAAGTCTGCAGAGTCCCTCGGAACTGTTGGAGCCCTCGCCCTACCGGGCTCGGGCACCAACCGTTCCTCTGGACTCTGCAGACGTTATAACACGGAAAAACGTGCGTTAACCCTATATGGTGAAGTAATTTTGTTCAAATAAAACATTTATAATTTATTAAATAATTTCCCCTTTATTTCTTTCTATATACATTTACATGTATATACAATAGAAAATTTAATTTTAAAATCTAATTGCCCAAGTTTGAAATTGTGCATTGCAAAAAATCCCTAGCAATTTAATTTTGCCAGTATATTCTTAATTTGCAAGTTCATTGCCATTTTCCCCCTAAACTATGAACAAGTAATGCTGCAATTATAATTCTCAATTGTGTTATTGTTTATGGCAATATTTTGGCTCATCTGTTTTGAAGCAAAAGTCTATAGATATCATGCTTGTTGGCATGCATTATAACGTTAATGTATAGCCCATTATTCAAATATTTTAATAGGAATCAACCTCAAAATTGGAAAATATACTAAAATAATCATGTCAGTAAAGGTGCATATGTAAGAAAGGAGCATTATTCTGAAAGCTATTTTTAGGAGTTATGCCCCTTTTTAAGTAACTCTTTTGTCAAAAACTTTTTTGATTTTTGTCAAAATTGCTTATTAAGAAGAATGATTACAAACCTATGAAAGGTACTTATCAACATGAAACTTGTCACACTTGGTTATTATGATAAAACATTTAAGGGCATTATCCTGAAAGCAATACTTTAGGAGATATGCCCCTTTTTAATATAGATTGTTTTTGGTCAAAGTTTTTGGTCTTAAGAACGTACCGAAGCACTAACGCTGGGTCTATACATATACTATAATTATGCTATAAATGTGTAATTGTTTATGAACATTTTTTTTTTTACAAGGAACATATTAAACAAGTAATATGTTGCCATTTAACAATCTCAAAATGTGTTATTGTCTTTTTTTTTGCTTTTTTATCTATACACACAAATCATGAGAGATGTTGCCATTTTTCTCAAACAGTTATTGTTTATTGCCATTTTCAACTGTGTGTTATGCATTTTGCTATTAAGTATTTTATCTTTTCACAAAATATTATGAGACGTAACATTACCATTATTCTCAAACTGTGTGTTAATATTAAAAAAAATAAAATATTACTGTCATTTTTGCCTAATATGTAAAATAGTAATATTGCAATTATACTCAAACTGTGTTCATATTTCTTACCATTTTTCTATAATTATATACACCAGTAATGTTCTCATAACAGACACACCGATTTGAGTGAAAAGCGTTGTTGCTTACAATAATTATATTCTAGAAAGATGGTGTGAGCCAATGATTTAAAATTTTGCACACAAGTAATGAATAATTTATTGGTCTATACCTACATGAAATGTTAATGTCAAATATTTTTATCCAGTTCCGTCAAAAAATCTAAGTGGAGTCCCTTTAATAATTTCTTGACAACACTTTAAATCATATTTCGAAATAGCTACATGTACTATAACAAATATTTCAAAACCACCTTAATTTTCTATTTCAAACTTGTTTCTTTAAAAAAATACACCAAGGGAGAAGAACAGTAAACACAAATAATGTTTGCTTACTAAAATAGTAGGTGGAATAAATTTGTGCCAATTAAAAAAAAGCCATATTTTTTGAAAATGGAGTAAAGTACACAGTGTTATTAATTATTGACAAAAAACAAACACTGAACTTTATAAAGCTTTCTATATATTGTGTATTTATTTATTTATTTATTAACTTTAATTTTATTTAAGTTTTGGATAATCACTTCTGTTAATTTGAAAAAAATGAAAACTGAAGTTAGTAAAATGAAAATTTTAAATGTGGCCTACTTGTAAAAGACCATTAAAACACCACCCCGGCGAAATTCATGGTCATTTAACCATGAACTACAATGGTATTTCATGGTCCTATAACCATAAACTACCATAGTAGACCATGTTTTGTTAAATGGCACCACAGCTTTTCATGGTCACCTAACCATGGTTGCTAACACCATGGTCTACCATAAAATAACATGGTAGATCATGTCTACTGGCACCATGTTCTACCATGTTAATTTTTTCCCACTGGTGAAATGTATCATGTTTTATCATGAAATAACATGAACTAACATGGCTCACATGCAGATCATGGTTAGCAATGGTTGACCATGTTATGTTACACGACCCCAGTGTAAGACAACTTTCGTAAATTACTTATGATGTAGACTAACATAATAATAGTATATCTTGACTGAATTTGTTTCCTCTGTGATCACTTTTATTTGTAGACCAGTCAGCCTGCATATAAAACAATCAGTGCTTGCCATTTATCTTTTTAAAATGTTCCCGCCTTTTCCCACATGTATATTTTCCTTGTGTTTACATCTTTATCAGTGTTTATTCCATAATGTTTGTTAAATCCATTTGTGAAATATTAAAACTGGGTGTTGGGAAACATGTTAGTTAGCAAAATCTGAGTGATTAATTCCATTGTTTAAACACTTTAAAACATATATATTATGCTGTTGACAATCACACATGGATTTGGATGCCATGTTGGAAGTTGCATTGTGGTAAGGTTTACCTCCGCTTTGAAGAGTATTCAAATTATAAGGCTAGAACTACTGTTAGATACAATGAAACTCAGGGCCATGGGTTCAAACCCCAGAAGGGTCAACATTTTTTTTCTTTTAACATTATTTATGTTACTTTCATATCCCTTTTGGGAAGAAAAACAAGTGTTTCATATTTTTTTATTTAATTTATATAGGTATTTATTGGCATAAAAATTATGTTGATAGTACACCATGGTCATTCATGGTCATTTTACCATGGTCTGTAATTTTGTTACATGGTAGACCATGGTTTTTCATGATAGCTTACTGATATGCAGAATGAACATGTTATTACATTTATTAAGTTAACATTTTTAAAGAGGGATATTGACAAAAATGTAAATTTTTCATGGTTTTTAGAACTATTCCATTTTGGTGCTGATATAAACAAATTATACAAATTACCTAAATCACAACTACTGTACAATGTTATTTACTTAAATTTACGCATAAAAAACTTTAAAAATTACCATGAATAAAAAGTTAAAAATTCTTACTTGTCTATATGACAACAGTAATGTGTATCTTAACACATGTTCCTATTTAAATCCTTAAATTGACTTTACAATAAAGAATTTTCTAAAGTTAGTTTAAAACCTTTGTTACAGTTCACACTTTTCTCCATAAAATTATTATGATATCTGATATTTATACACTTTCAATGGCGTTTACATATTTAAAATAATTCCTATATCCATATTTACAATTCAAATATCAAATATTTAGTAATATCAAGCCTACAACGGGACTTATTATTAACTCCTTTAAAGCACACGTACATTACACTAGTATCGGACCGATGATAGATTTTACAGCTCAACTATCTGATAGTGAAAACGACAGAAAAGAAAATTCAATAACGCTGCTTTTATTATAACCACGCATAGTCATATGCTCAATTTACTTTAATCGCCCTTTAGGTATCAGTCCATGCCGTCTGTTTCAATATTTTTTAAGGATATCTTAAAAACCGCAATCACTATTTGAAATTTCTTATCGAAAATGGAATTCTTCACTATCATTTACAAATGGCATATAATCCTTTGTGGGACTGTCGCAATGTTTACAGCAATGTTTATCTAATTCATTACCGGAAGACTGTTCATGTCTTCCGATTTGACTTCAACCGGTAACCCCGCTGATTTATTTCCCCTAGGAGTGAAATCTTGATAGGTTAATCGCATAATTTAGATAATCTCTGTCACTTATTGTACCGGTATACCCTAATCTATTAACAATTGCCCTAGATTTTATATTAGCATTAACAGATTATTTGGTTATACACAGAAATTTCTGTGTTGTCATTTTTTTCAGAATTCCCGTTAACAACATGTTAAGCCCGGGTACTTTAAGAACAGGGTGGGGTCTGATTGCAATGGTGAAAGGATCAATTCTAGTATTATCAATCACATTTTTTTAAAAGTCATTCCTTCAAAATGTTAACAAAAACATAGTAATAATTATCTTAAGTTTGACAAAAAGGGCTATTTGAAATAAAATATCATATATAAGTGACTATAACAAGAGCTGCCTGGCTCACAGGTCTATTCTCAGTGTTTGAAATAATATAAGTAAAAGCAAGAGAACCTGTGAAGATTTCAGCTAAAGGATAGCAAGGAAAACAGCTGAAAGGGAGCAAGGAAAAAAGCCTAAAAGGAGCAAGGAAAATTATTAGTCTTCAAATTTCACTTATCTATAACAATTATTGTAAATGTAATGTAAATGTTATATGCCAAAGCTGCAAGAGATATTCCACCTATCACTGTCAACAAACCGCAATCAAGACATGATTTGGACAGGCAGAATTCCCTAATGTTTAAAGGCACAATATGCCTCAGAAATGAATACAATTTTCCTTCTTAATTTAGAAAGGGCAAACATGAGTATTTAACATTAAAACAACGGTTTTGGAGCATGTAATGTGCTTAAATTTACCAAAGGAATGTAAGGCTGTCTATGTCATATCATTTCTAATATAGGCAGCAAAATGTAAACAAACTAGTATTTTGACTTATTGTCCAACAATATTGACCTGGCACTTCATTAATTTCCGTAAAGGTCAGGTGATAAACAGTGGTATCTAACGAATATATTGATATCTTTATTACTTCACACGTCAATGAGTTGTGGTGTATTGGTATAGATGCCTGACTACTGATCTGAAGTTCCCTGGTTCGATACCTTACCAACACCATGTTATGAGGACATACATTTTTTTATTTCATTTTGAAATTAATTTGAAATCGTTTTACTACATCTTGTTTTTAGGATACCTTTTAAGTAGTGTTTTTATACAATTTTATTTTTTACTTCATTACATTATCTTTAATTAATAAAAAGGACAGCACGTCCATAATACAAATTAAAATTCATACACAACCAAAACTCAAAACGTTTTGCACGAGTTAAGAGAGAAATAGCAATTTTAAAATAAGAAAAAAATATAAAAGTGGCTGAAGCAGGATTCAAACCTACGAGTGTGCGTCTATATTCTTGAAGTTAAAGCACTTTACGACTGTGCTAAGAGGGATTTGTAATTTAGATCATTTAACAACTGGTTATATAGTTACATGTACATTCATATTGATTTACAATAGATTGTAATGTTTACCGAATTTACCGACTATGGGGTCAAATGCAAGAGTGCCAGGTCAATGTTGTTGGACAATACATACAAAATACTAAATTACTATATATATACACTGTTCTAGTTTCAAAAAAGCAACAGGAGCAAAAGATGGTTTCGGGTAAATATAGCCAATCTTTCTGGATGCTTTAACAGGACACCAAAAATAAAAAGCATTTTTTGAGGCATTATGGGCCTTTAATTATATATTCTGCCATTGGAAAAAATTCACAATTTTATCATGAAAATTCCCAAAAATTGGGAGAGGATATTTCCCTATCAGGTAAACAATTAAGATCCATGTACAGGCAGGATTCCCAAATGATTTTATGAACAGCACAATTTTAATGTTAATTATTATTTGAATCAAAGGTGAATGGTTATATATTCCCACTTCCTATCTGTTATATTGCTAAATTTTCCCAATTTAAAAGGCATGGGCTGGACAGATAAACAGTAATTGATTTATTGTTTCAATTAAAGTTTTCAATTTCACAGTACTAACAAGTCTTGTCCTACACTGGGGACAAACAACCTTGGCCCACTGACATATAATTATAATTGAGTTTAATTGACATGTTTAAAAAGTATAATTAACAATCGCCTACAACAACCAACAGATTCTGGGAAACCTGTGTTGTTTTTTTACCTAGAATCAGGTCAAATAGAAACTTTTATTCTGCATGTGACACTGTGTTTGTTTTTAGTCATAAAATCAATCTATATTGATCATACCCTTTTCTAACAAGCTGTTTTTGCAAATGCATTTTTCATATTCAATAATGTATTATTCAATTTACTATTTAAAAATCATATTAATTACATGGGTTACTTTAAATAATGTTAAAAAGATTAGCTCACGTTCATTTCCTTAGAGGTGAAGGCTTATTTTTTAAGAGTTGCAAAATTATAGCAAACTGTACATTCTGAAAATGTAAAATGAAAATCTATTTAAACCTTCCCATGATTTTTAAAGAAATCAATAGCTGAAACATTTTAAGCAATAAAAACTCTAGGTTCACTGACCTTGTTTTGGAGTTATCTGCAGTCTTTGGTGGGATTCAAACCAACAGGAGTAAGGGACAAGGTACTACAAGTCAACGACTTATAAACTACTCAGCAATTAAGACTCTACGGTATGGGCCAAATATGTAACACACTGCTGACTTTTCGAATTCGGTATTTTCAGCTTGAAACTGTATAAAAATATCAGTGGACTCTTTAAAACAATCTCAAGTCAAAGAGTGTAACTTCCGAATTCCGGAACTTCTAAAATCTGAAAACATTTTTTAGGGTCCCAAAATTTATCCTGCTGTTTTCTATGTAATTAATACCTCTGAATTACGAACTTCTAAATTCTGAATTCCGAACGATTTTCGGATAAAATTTGGGTTTTTTCAATTCAAATTTACATCCAAAATCTGGAAATTGAAAAAAGTGTTATGGAATATACTTGTGTTTGTAAAACATTCAAAATGTCATTATCTTCCAATTAGCAGTAACCATTTATCTTGACACCTATAAGAATCGAGTGTAGGACAAAAGCCCTCCCGGACAAAAGGCCTCCCGTCAAAAAGTGACAATGCGGACAAAAGCCCTCCCGTGAAAATGACAAGGCGGACAAAAGCCCTCCCATGAAAATAACAGGGCGGACAAAAGCCCTCCCGCAAAAATGACTTGGCGGACAAAAGTATGTTACTATCATTAAAGTCCCAATTCAAATTTTTGTATAATCTTGTCTCTAAATTTTTGAAATTAAAGACCCATTTAAAGCCTCAAAAATGCTAAAATTGTGTAAGTTCTAAAACATTATTGATTGGCCACCTTTACCGAGCTATCTTTCGCTTTGTTTGTGTTTTGCCATTTCTCAGGCTTACATTGCCTGGAAGTTTGACAGGTTTTAATATTCTGGCATAGTTAGCTGAAATTAAGACATATAAGTAGGGCAAATCAATATAACACCCACAACTGTGTCATAATTGGACAATTAATCATGTCCATCTTTATTAGTGGGGGTAACATTTTAATGGGAAATCTTCAAATGTTATAAAAAGCTTAATTTCTTCTTATACTTTGAAAGGTAACATAGGAACTACAAATATTTAAATAAAACTTGCAGATAATGGAAAGACTAAGGTCATTGTAATTTATGCAGGGGGAAAATAGTGTGAATGGGGATATATAAACTGCCAAGGAAACAGGGAGAACAGTGTGAATGGGGATAAATTTCAATGGAAAGGGGGAGAATAGTGTGAATGGGGATATTAACTGCCAAGGAAAGTAAAAAAACAGTGTGAATGGGGATAAATTGCCAAGAAAAGGGGGAGAACAGTGTGAATGGGGATAAATTGCCAAGGATAGGGGGAGAATAGTGTGAATGGGGATAAATCGCCAAGGAAAGGGGGAAACAGTGTGAATGGGAATAAATCACCAAGGAAATTGAGAGAATAGTATGAATGGGGATAAATCGCCAAGGAAAGGGGGAAACAGTATGAATGGGGATAAATCGCCAAGGAAAGGGGGAAACAGTGTGAATGGGGATAAATCGCCAAGGAAAGGGGGAAACAGTGTGAATGGGGATAAATCACCAAGGAAATTGAGAGAATAGTATGAATGGGGAGAAATCACCAAGGAAAGGGGGAAAACATGTGTGAATATGGATAAATTACCAGAGTGTTTCCCTTCACTGCCATATAGTTAGTCAAAATTGCAGAGTGTCTTGCCTTTGCCAGGTGTTTTAAATCAACATATCAAGCCCCCACTAATTTAATTCTCCTTAGGTTGGGGGCATGGTTTCAAAGGACTAATTATGCATTAATATTTGTCTCCAAGAACAGTACAAATTCTACAATGTTATGGTTAAGCTTTGAATTAAAATACGACCTTCATAATACAATGATGTGTTTTCTGCATTCAGAGATGGTCCTCTGTTAAGCAAAATTTAATACTGTAAAATTAATGGTTTTATTATAACATAACCTTAACCCAGATAAATTTGTCTACAGAACTTGTCAAGTGCCTTTAATTTGGAATTTCCAATTGTTAGTTTAATGGATTTCAATATCAAAACTGTGTACCCAACTCTATGGGAAGCCTGCATGGTTCCAATACACAAAAATAATTAATTGCAGCCTTCGCTCAAAATTTACCAAAGAGTTGAACAATTCTTCTTGAAGGATTTGCATAAAATCAGATTGTTATAGAATTAACTGGAGTATTATAATAATTAGGATTGTGGCCAAATTTTCACCCTTGAAACACCAAGCAATACAGTCTTCAAATCAAATCATCACGGCATGAACAAAGTTTGCAAAGGCTAGACAGAAGTGTCATTAATGATTAAGAGTCCAATGATTAGAATATTGATCACCATACCCCCACAACACTAGTGTTTACATATTCCAATTGAAAAAAGATTGAATAAAGTTCATCTCAGTTCTGTTACGATAACATACATGGTGGAAATGCAATCTATTTCCTTGCAGCAAATATTTACATTTCT